AATGAAAATGTCATCCGTTGAAAGCATATTCCTGTGACTTAAATTGTGACCAAAGGAAATTTAGAAACTTACAGATTTATACTGTTATCTAAGTGCTGACAACGATTTTGAAAAAGAGCTAAGAATAAAGAACAGCAAAGGCTTCTACGATCCTATCTAACTCACTTTTGCACAACATGCAACAGGTTTCTTCAATATTCCGTGATTATCTTTATTAGTTTTTCGTGTTAGCATGATATACCCGACTCACCTTAACATCGGATTTAGGCTCACATATCAAACGGACCCAAAATGCTACGCTGCCTGGAATTCTCGTTCCTTGAGCTCCTACCATACCAACAACACCTGTTGGACGGTGGTAAGATAGTAGGTAGTTACCGTTTTAATGACAGTTACTATGCCACAGTAGGGGTTCGCGGCAGAGTCATGCTGCTCACTGAAGGTGATACAACAGTATTAGAGTGTTTCTTGTATATTACTAGCAGTGTCATACTGATATTGCCTTCTCAAGTGAAAGAAGATATTGAGAAATATTCATCTCAGAAACAGCCGACTTCTTCCTATCCTGCAATATTCCAAAGCAGGTACTGTGGGATTTTATTTTTCAACTTTAGTGCAATGCATTCCAGATAAAATAACTCACAAATGCGGTATGTGACTCTTGATAATGATGATTCTGTAATAGCACGATTCATTCTGAGGTGTACGAACTAGAGTCCTTAATCACCACTGTTGGTTGTTACGCGGACATCATCCCGGAAGTAAAGATTTCTTAACATGGCTCAGAGCAAAAGTTAAGGACATCTTCAACTGGTATCCCGGTTTAGTCTTGTCACTCCCAATCATTTTGCATCTTAAGCCCACATTAGGCAATGTTGTGTATTAGAGTAGATTGCAACCAGACATGCATAAAACACTTACCTGCCACCTCAGTCCATAAAAGTACACTGCTTTATCAACTCAATTGCCCGTTTTACCATACATATCCATGTAGAGACTTTGTCGGTAACCTTATTACCTGTGCCGACACAACTTCTAAAATGAAAGAAGTTGTAATCGCGCTTTAAAGCTACAATGCTTGTTGTCAGCCGAAACCTCAACACACATGAGACCGAAATGATGCGTTTGGGGGATAAACAACGCATTCCGTAGATCTTTTCACCATCTTCCCTTGTCATTCATAAAAAGCTAAGTAAAAATGAAGAGGATGCATATCTCTTACTGAAACAACTCGAAATATACAACAAACCTGGTACTTTATCATAAGCTCAAATGCACATACAGTAGCATGATGTACTTGAACGGTACCTCATTGATGGATACTGACATAGGTTCTTTCAGTTGATTGAGTCAGATGCCAAATTTAGGCTCTAGTAAGTAGGCCTTTGTTCAAAGATCTGAGAGATTTTGGAGATCTAGTTGATTCATTCCTGAGACCTATTCGCTCTTCTCAGGGTTGCTGCTCGCGAACTCCACGTAAGTATCTAGTACTTAAACAAGTGAGAAGCTTGGACACCAGTTTCGTCAGACTGACCTCTCTGTGGTTATCAAAAGACAATTTCTCTTCTTTTTTGAAGACTGGGATAACCAACGACTGAGACCAGTAAAACAGAAACGTGTCGGATTGCTTGAATCTTGCCAACCTTACAGTTATTCTGATAAATAATCCCTGATAACCATGCTCACGGACCTTTGGTAATAAACAATCTAACCCTGCTGTCGTTCCTTGTTTCGGAATACTCACAACCTTATCAAGTTCATTAACGATTAGAAGTCCTACCTCAATGTTACAATCAAGACTCGACTGAACTGGCCATAGAACAATGACTAGCTATCTACTGTTACCTGTCACCCATTGACCTTCACCACTCACCAGTGACAAAAGTCATCGCTTAAGCCTTTTGACATTCTACATTTGAGTTGCTTATGCTCCTCACTGTGCTCAAACTCTGTTAGAATGTGTTGACGTGAATCCATTATTTCAGAAGAAACTGCTGAAACCCATTGACCCTTATAGACATTCTTCTGAGGGTCAACTAGGATCTTTGACATTGATTTTACAACTAACTGGACACGTTGTCAGCATGAGTGATGTTTTCCGTTTCCGATCACTGTTTACTTACTTCCTTGTTGAAGACAGATGTAGTATTCTCATTGTCAGGGTGTGCTTGAAATGGTCTCGTTCCTTTATGTTTTCTACATCCGTCGAGGTGCAAGTATATGCCTATAGGAACCAAATCATGATCATTGTTCAAATACGTGATCTAGAAGGTTTGACAATCTTTTACTGACAGTAACCGGCCACGACCGACTACGATTTGGTCTATCTGCATCTAGTACTGAGTTATGATCAGTAGACAAGACATACGACACTATCTCTCTTGATGTTTGAAGTTCATGTTGGCTAAAAGCGGGTGGCTTTCCGGAAAAAGTAGTAGCGGGAAATCACCGTTACCTATTCATTCAGCTGCAACTCGATGCGTGCACCAAGTGCCTTTTTGCCTCAGTTAGACCACTCTCCTGTCCACTGAAATCACCTGCTATAACATCCACTCCTAAACCTTGGCTTTCGGCTGAAAACTGGACGGTTTCCAGAAGAACTCATCTTTCACTTGATCCAAACTGCAGTTGGTGGGTTTGTGGGTAGAGATTGGAGGTAAATCGGTGAGTTTCACCATTAATTTCAGTCCTCACTGTCTTATTCATTTGAAAAGCATACAGAAGACTTTCAAATGAGGTGCAGTCGAGCAGTGCGCCTTCCGCCTTAAAATGGAACGCCATACCTTCGCTTGTAATATTACGAATACCAGCCATTGGGTCTCCAGAAACTCAAAAGGCAAGAATTTAATACAGTAATCACACTGTCCGGATGGGGAAAACTGAATGACTGCAACATGTTGCTGCATGTAGGTCTCAAAAGCACGGTTTATCTTCATGGCTCAAGATGAAAGAGGTTTCATTACAGAAGTATGTTAGATTTAATTAAGTGTCGTAATTGAAAACTCCTAGTTGCATAGCATCAAGAATGCTATCTTGTGAGTCATATTCGTTACCTGTAGTTGTAAGGTGGTGAGAAACTAAAGGTGATGTCACATTAGTAACACAGAGATAGAAAGAAGGGTTGTGAAGTAAGGACCGCCAGTCATGAAGATGAATATACTGTCCTGAATATCCAGCAATCTTGATACTCTCGCATAGAAGCCCATCTGCCAACAGAGCTCCAGCAGTTCCACCCTGTTTAGCAACTGGGAACCACAGGTATCAAAACAACAACTGATACCCACTGGACACGTTATGGTTCTAGTACTGCAGTGACCCAGTGGATAATGTTTTGTCATTTAAAGCAATGGGTACTGGGTGAGTCTCAGCGGGAATAACATCACTAACTGGGACGCAGCTACACTCAGTTGACGAGTCCCAAGTAGGACGAAACGCACTTCCTAAATTCCACTTCTAGCTTTCATGATGAATATAACACAATGACGCGAAAGTTTGATGTCGACCAGAGTTGAGGTATAATACAATTTTGGGCGTGGCTAACACTTCCCAGTTGCCTACACCTTGGGAGACTACTTCTTCATGAGTTACCTAAAGAGGTATTTGTATTGATAATAGTATTACGTAACCAAAGGTCTGAAGAGACATCTGCTTGGGGCCAGTTAAATGCGGAACTTTTAAATGTTTTAATGTGAGATTTCATTGTACTAGCTCTGGGCTTAAGAAAATATACTATTGGCACCCGAAGACTACTAGGAAAGCACTCATGCAGTTTCTTAGGGCCAAACTTTCTTAACGTCTATTCCAATAGAAAGACATCAGCTTTAAATGCTGGTCATCTGCTAAAAACACCTTACTACCGTTATTCAATATATAACCATCAGTACAACTTCTTCTTACGACCCCAACCATAGTGTAAGCTATTTGTGGCATGACGGTTACAGCATTTATTATTATCACTATCTAACTGATGTTTCAGACATGTTGCTTCCTCAAGGAATAATCACTTTAGCCAGCATAGCTTGTTGGACCATTGTGATACTCAGGCCTAACTATCACATCCAGGTGGGAGCTCACGGTACAATATGCCTAAAGTGCACCGAGTATATAATATGAGATGATAAAGAGCAGTCATCAAACTATATTTGCTACTGATTTCATTTGTTATCCTATCTATTCTATAAACGTATCCAAATTTATGTTGTATTTTTAATTCTACATTGGTTTACGTATAGTTAAATCACTGATGGTTTACATTAAGTTTTGTGTACATTTTAATATCGTTAAATCACTTGATATAGCGTAAAACTTTGTTACTTTCGGTCAATGAACAGTTTAACTACCTAGTTAGTCAGTTTGTGTGTTAGTTAATCTATCGAAATCGTAAACTAGTTTGTATCATCTAATAAAGTTTGATGCCAGAATAGCAGTTAGAGTTAGGCTCAGTAAGTGAATGAATTTAAGGACTTTCATCAAATAACCCTATACAAAGAAGGCAGAATAGTAGGTTGTACAACTTTTAAGCTATTTCTGTAATAAGACATATCCAGGTTATTCTCCAAATGCGTGGTTTTGAATATCAGTTTTCAAGAAGGGTATATCCATCTTTTATTACGAAATACATGTATGATAGCAAAAAATCTTATTTCACTCCAAACCTTCAAAAAGTACTGTAACTGGACCAAACCTTAACTCAGATAGTTCACATCACTGATCATGAAAATGATTGGTGTTAGTTGTTGACTGGTTAACTGGTGTGACAGATCATCCTTTCACTGCCCTCACCTTCTATTCCGTATCTTAACCTATGATGTGATATTTCGCAAAGGGCACCAGTTAACTGATGTTTGGAAGCGAACTTCTAAAGTTTTCCAAAAGTATTTGAATAATTCAGCAACACATACAGGATAATTTCAACTTGAATAAGCTAAAGAACAGAACGAACATTCTTTTTAAAGAATACTATAAGTCAAATTAACAAATGGATAACTTTAAGTACTCACTTCTACAGGATGTTTACGATCTTTCTGTGCCCCAGCACTTCGACTACCAGCTGCATTTCTTCGACCAGTTCTTGTGCAATTCAGCTTCATGCCACTAATAAGTCATCAATAAATATATATCCGAAAATTAAATGAGTTAAGGTATTTTAACATTCAGCAAACATTATTTTGGCGAGGAAGTATTGTTTTAGTAAATCAAATTGATAGATTCCATGCTGAATGGAATTTATGAATGAAAGGTATGAGAGTGGGCTGATAAGAGTGGAAGTCGTGGATGTCTCTTGCTAGGTTGATATAAAATTATAAGTTGTAGGGTGTCCGAAATTTAAATTATGCAAAGTCAGTAGGTATTCAGTATGTTCAGTTCCAATTAGACGTCAATTATATTCAGTATTCTACACTATAGTCACGATTAATTCTGGTTAAGTAGCATACTCATATAATTCAGGTGATCTATATTTAATTTTAAAATGCTTTAACTTCTATGATATTTTGAGATAGTATTCATCACGGACTGACACCAGTAAACCAGTAAAAACCTGGGAGTACTGGACAGCCGTTTCGCCTTGCTATGAGACTCCTCAGCAGTACGCACCCACGACAAGGTTGGAGATCCAACCCAGGATCTTTAGGTTACACGGCAAAAGCGTTGACAATCCGGTCAGTGGGTTGAAGCTCAATGGTTCACAGTTTTCAAATTCTGTCAGTTTGCGATATGGTGCGACTGATGTCATTCCATGATGAATACTACCTCAAAATACATCACCGTAAAGTGCTCATATGTGATGTGCTTTCAGATGGATATCTCTAAGTTCTAATGAGCAGCCGTGACCTGTGGGATCAATAAAGTCGAAATAGAAGCGGATGTCTACCGAAAACCTTGAATGACAGTCACCCTATATCGCGAATTGACGGAAGTTGGAAAGTATGAACCTCTGAGCTCAGACCCATTGGCTAAATGGTCAAGGCGTTCGCCGTGAAATCTAAAAGTCCTGATTCCGATCTCTAATCGGGTCACGGGTGCGTGCTGCTGAGGAGCCTCATTCGAGGACGAAACGGCTGTCCAGTACTCTCAAGATTCCAATGGTTCTCTGACTGATGTCAATCAGGGATGAATGTTACCTCAAGATTAAAATCCTCACTCACTTCAATATGAACTTTATGATATTGCCTGTATTCTTCTATCCATCATTAATCTCAAAAATGAAGATACGGTCGAAATCGAGGCGTCTACCCAGGAGCCCATATACCAATAGGGATTGATCATTTCGGTTCAACCAACGATTAGCTGATACAAGTGAAAAGATTTAAACTATAATTGTTGCACAAGAAGTGGCTATCATGACTCGGTGGCCTAGTGGGAAATTCTGTATTGTTTGAATAAATTGGCTGAGGACTGAGTCCTGATGGTAACAACGTCTCTCATTGGGAGGCAGGTACATCCATCTGACTAGTTGTGAATAGTGAGAAACTGATGTCCTGGGTTCCACTTTTAACCACTATCCATCATTAGTGTTTTAAGTTCATTAGTTACACTTTTAAGCTGAGGAAATTCAGTGGCTACTTCCTTCTGACCGATCACCTATGTCGATATTCGGTAGAACTGTCATGTCAGCAGTATAAAGTTTTTTGATGTGTACTCGTGAAAACTTAAATTTCCCAGGTCAGCAACTGAAATAACGTTTTAATTCTGCAATCAAAGTATCCTTTTTGATATTTTAAAATGTAAAATATGAGATGTTTTGTTTGTTAAGATTACATTCACTGGTGTAATGTTGCTTTCAGAACAGAAACAAAGTGACCCTATGATGTGAATCTACAATCCACCATTCAAGATATAAGCTACCGATACCTGTTAAGTATGTGTGGAATTGTGATATATCTCAGTGTATAAAATTAATGAAGTCTAGAGACGTTAAGGAAAACAACTTGTATTATCTGTTCAGCACATGAAATCAAAACCAACTTTATGTATGATTTTCACTAAACATTACTCGAAGTATGCTTGTGTAACCATTGGAAAAATAAAGAATGTGGTGAAAACAAGTTTTTCTTTAATACGATTCTTACCCTTTACAAAGTTGTATAGAGCAAGAACAATAGCTTTGGCAAAATACCATAGCGTACATGGGTTCTAGTGTAGTCATTATGGACAAGAATGAATATGTACATAAAATAAAATCAATTCTAGACGATTCATCAAGATTTATAATTGACAGTTCCAACATAGATATGACTGAGGCTATAGAAAAGCGAATTACAAGGAAGTTGCGTTAACTTCCAAAAAAGAATATGACTGATAACTCTGTCTATAATGAATTCAAACCATTGGGGTCTGCCTGTCGCATTTATATGGTATGTCAAAACGCATAAAACTAGTGTCTTGATGAGACCTATATTCTCTACGTTAAACTCACCATTCCACAAACTTGCTCCTTGGTTAGCAGAACACTTGAAGCCAGTTCGTGAAAACTTGGCAGTCTATGGCTTAAAAGATAGCCTCGAATTCGCCCGGTAACTGAAGGGTTTAAATATCTCAGGTAAATCTGTGGCGTCTTTTGATATCCCTGTGGTGTTTACAATGATATATTCAGAGGGAACTATAGAAATTATATATCATCAATCCGATCTTCTGCCTCTACTCAAAGAAGAATTCAAACACCTTTTACTCATATGCTCCGAGAATGTGATATTTAAACTTAACATTGTCATATATCATCAAGTTGATGCAGTTGCGATGGGGAGTGGCTTGGATTCCATACTAACCGATATCTTTATGGGGAACCTCGAACGTACAACTATGAAGTATGTAATCAATGAGACAACCTTCTACATTAGGTATTTTGGTGATATATTCGTTGCCTGCAATAACCTGAAACATATCCCATACTTGCTTAGTCTACTCAACAAGACATCAAAGTATAGAATTTAGAATGGAATGTGAACAGAATGATAAATTTTACTTCTTTGATCTCGGAACTCAACGAAATATCAATAGTAACATACTTAGACGTACTCATCATAAAGATTCCTGGAGTAAAATGTATCTTAACTTCAACAGCTTTTGCCTTTTCAGTGATAAGAAAGAGCTAGTGAGAACGCTCTTCCACTTCGTAAGACATTTTTGTCCGAAATAGACACTGGAAGAGGAAATGAACATTGTGGAAAATTGCCTCCATGATAACGGATAACCACAGAAATTCATCACTAGGCACAAGAATGTAACGATTAAAGCCATAAGGTATGATACAGTCAAGAAAATTGTTTACCTAAATCTTAGTTTCATTGATGATGTTTCCGGTTGAATTAGCTACCGAGTAAACACTGCCTTAAAAAGGACTTATCTATTTACCAGGTCACTTGCACTTTACTAAACGAATTGCTTACTGAGACAAACAGAGGTTGACAAGACCCCTCTTCATGTTACCTCCAACTGTATCTAGCAATTCACATGTACCTGCTAAAGTACATACATTGAAGGAAGAGAAAGAAGGGTTTGCGACAGTATGCCTGACCATATTTCAAGGAATTCGTGACTGAGAGGTGGAAAGATCTTCAACAGTGTCATTCCTCATCACCTTACTGATATTGGATATGAAGTCGATCATCAGAAATCGTTCAAAACAATTAGTAAATGAATGAATTTGAATTTGTTGCATTTCGCTGAAGCATTATTCATTAAACGATTGAAACCAAACTTATGTGTTCAGAAGGTAACAGTTATCAGTCTGTAGCTAACATGGTAAAGATTTATTTTGTTGACAATCATTATAGTTTTCACATTTCGTTGTCGATTCGTAAATGTTGGTTTTTTTGCTGTTATTTTACATTTCGTACCCTTGATCTAATTATCTGAATCCTACTTACAGTAGTTCTTAGTTAACATAAATCTCATGATCTTGCACATATTTTGTTTAACCTTTCTTAACATGTTGAATAGACTTGTCTCCCTCATTTATCTAAACTTCTACTCTAGAATATTCGTCTAATCCTTCTATGTATTTGCAAACTTAATTCTACAAGTTAGTTCTGTATATTTTTTTTCAAATCAATTCGTATGTTTTCAGTTAATTCATATCGATGATGATATTTCTAACCCTAAGCCGACAGTTTTCGATCAGCAATGCGAATACTCTGTATAAACTGATGTTAAAAATTGTTTTAGGCTGTGAGCAGTTGATGAGAAACCACGAAATGAAATGGATCTATGGTATTCTGCTGAAGTTGTTATTCTTGCTCAATGTAAAATTGTTCTGTATTGTCAAAAATATTTTGTTAAAAAGTATCCCCTATTCTTACTTTTAATCACTAATTTCAAAATGAGCTTAGGAAGGATAGAAATAGAAGTCAGAATTTAGATGTCATTGTTTAAACAAAACTGTATCCTGAAATGTTTGCTCTGTATATTTACTTTTATATACCCTGAGCTTTAAAAACATAAAAGACTGATAGAATTGATTGCAGAGAAAACTTAATAGGATTAGAAGTTTATATCAACTTACCCAGTAGTCGTAAGACTGATATCTGTTCGTCCAGAAGATATGGCATTAGGATTTAGTGACAAAATATCAGTAGCCATTGGTGTACCTTGCCCAGCGGGTGGTAAGAAAAATGGGGAAGTTGACTCCAACTGTGGCAATATACCTCCAGCTGCAACAACAGCTGCTGCAGCGGCAGCAATATTCTGATCCTTTGTTAAAACTAATTCATTTATTAATTTTCCAGAAGTGCGAGAAGGTGGCTGACGTACACTCAACTCATTTTTATCAACAGGTTTCGCCCATGTTACTTCTATTTTTGAACCATCAATGTAAGTATCTGAAACAAGTGGAAGAGTTGATGTTGCTTAATAACTGACTAACCAAGTGTAAAAAAGTAGCTTCATTATCTGGGATAAAGTGATTCTGATTGTTTAGTCTCATAAATTACTTATAAGTTTGACTATCTGAGATAGCCGTGGTTTAACTAACTTGTCCTAATACTGGGTAATGGTTGAAGATGTAATGAAAATTTGGGCCGCGACAGGATTCTAAAAGTCTGGTTTGCAGCTGAGTTTCCTAGCTCATTTGACAAGGCACCGGATCGGAGACCTGATGGTTCCTGGTTTGAATCATGCCATAACACAGACTTTCATTTCGTCTTCAATCATTACCTAGTATAGTAAATTACTTTCAATTCACCAAAAGACTCAAATTAAGTCATTCAGAAATGATTCTTGAAGTCAGTAAAAAGGTATAGACCCACGATTGTTTAGACGACATTATTCATACAACTGATGAACTACGATTTTCGTGGAGGGTTTGCTCAAAAAAAATGCTGAGATTAGCCAAACAACAACATAGTCATAATAAATGAAGCCAGTGAATATGAGTTTGTTAAATATAAAGAGATTGGTACTGTATGGATGGAATTTTCTGGAAGTAAGAAAATAGTGCCTGCTAACTCATACATTTGATTCTACTCGGGCTTATTCTACTGACTGAAATTTATTTTACATTTTGTGTTTTGTACACAGCAATTTTATAAGGAACAATAAAGAAAAGTTGTAAAGGGAAAATTAAATTAAATTGTTTCCTTAAAAGTAATGTCAAAAACAGGAAGTGTCAAACTAAAGCTTATCAGCTGAAGGTCTTAAACAAATAATAAATCAACACTTGTGAAAAGATTTTAACAAACACCAAAAACATATTCAAACAATCATGAAAAAGTATTAGTAAGAAGGGCGAACAAATGTGTATCTGGTAAATAGACATTTCACCTTCTGAAGAAAATGAAGAGTGAATACTTTTGTTCCTGTAAATTCACTTTTAAATTGTATTTTTAAAGATCTCTAGTATTCCTTAGAAATTCATTAAGGCAGCACTTATCTGCCTGAATTATTAATGTATTAATGCATGTAATGAATGCATTCCTTTAAGACAGGTTTAGGTAGGCGCCTGCTTGTCATGTTTTCTCCCTCTTTTAACCATTTTATTCCATTTTGCTCGATGAAATCTTGTAAGCAAATGCTTTTCAGGTTTTATCTTTATCTTACGCTAATAGGAACTGGTCAATAACTCTATGCTTCTGCTACTACAGAATAGCAATACTTGTCAAGCTGATCAAACAGTGGTGTATAAATTTAATAAGATCAGAGATCTCGTTTATTGAAGCGTCAAATCATTTCTATGGTCAAAAATGATTAGATAGTGAATATCATCAACAAAATCTTGGATAAACTATATTTTCATCTACTATTACGTAAAAACTGACTATGACTAAAGTGTGGTTCACTGTAGATGTAAATGAATACTCTCTCACTGATATTCATTTAGCTGAGATAAAACTTACCACAGAATTATTAAATAATAAGACTTAGCTTTTCTATTACTTGAACAAATTTCAGAATATTGAAGATGCATAAAAGAAGTCAACTTAGGTAAATCAATTCCCTCTTACAACAACTTTGATTTGTAAGAAATTCAAAAAAGGAGTCAGGTAAAGATGTTTTTCAAGGAAGTCAAAACACTATCCTGTTTTCCTAATGAAAGCTGAAGAAATTATTATAAGAATTTCATGTCATTTCATTTATTATCAACTAGTAGCAATCGCTGAACAAGTTGTCAAATGAACAGCAATCCCGATATTTCTACTGGTCAAAAGCACATAAAATGTCTTTCAAAATATGGCAGAAAACTTCCTATACAAAGAAAACAAAACCATTTTAAATGTAACTCATTGTTGTGATCTACGTTGAACAAATACTTCTAGAGATTATTGATAATTTGTACTGTTATTCTTCGAAAACTTTTTTGATACATTTTAAACATTTCTGTATTTATTTGTCTGATTAAACAAGAAACTAGGCATCAGTATGTGTAGGCGCAGGAGACAGGCGTTACAATATCAGTAACTCATCACTTTCTAGTTATTTTAATATATATTTTGGAAATACTTAGCACAAACTGCAGGTCGTTGACGAATAAACTTGATTACCTTCAGTCACTCTTGTCCACAAATGTTTATCGAAACACGGGTGTAATAATGCTGCAGGAAACATGGCTTCATAATCTGTATGATGATGACTTAGTCTGCTTAGATGGTTTCAAATTATTTCGACAAGATCGAAGCTTTTCGAAGAAAAAATGTGGTGGTGGTATAGCAACATTTATTAGTACTAACTGGTCGTCCTCCAACTATGTATGCTTCTGCTTCTCTAACGAAAAAATTGAGTGCATTACCATCAAATGTCGTCCCAAACATTTGAGCAAATACAAATACATATATATCACAAACATGTCACACCTGACTGCAGTTTCTCAGATTTGTCAACTTTTGCTGATAAATTCACTGAATTTGCTGCTCCGGTTCTGGGAAACTCCTTGTCTATTGTCTGTGGTGATTTTAACTCATGTGACTACAGTTTTCTATTATCATTGGGTCATAAAAATATGGTTAACTTTTCCACTCGTCTTGACAACACTCTAGACTTTGCATTTACAAATGAACCTGGCATATATGAAGCCCGTAAACGGGCTCCACTGCTAAATTCCGACCACTGTATCGTTCGTGTTTTGCCTAAAGTGTACGGAAAATTATACAAGAAAGCTTTTGCATACCTTTCAAGGAAAGTTCAATACAGATGCTATTCACAAGAAAATATATTACGTTTGAGAAGCATGCTTATAGAAACGGACTGGGATATATTTGCTGATGAAGTTTTAGACAACACTATTACCAATATCACAAGCTATCTCAGATTCTGTCTCGATATCTGCTGCCCTACTGAAACAATTTACATGAGATTTGACAGACTTTCCTCTCCTCATCTCAAGAGGCTTCGGAGAGAAAAGGAAAGGTTGTATAAGGCGAGAGATCACCCTGGCGTTAAAAGGCTTAACTGCCTAATTAAGTCTGAAATACAACGTCTGAATACTAATACAACAAGAAGTTCTTATCGTGTAAGAACTCTTCCAATATATGGAAATTATTTAAAGAGCTTACTGGTAAAAAACAGATGACAACACAAACTCGTTCGGATGTCTGCGTTAAACAAGTCATTTATACGTCGGCAAGCTAATTTCACCCTTCCTAATGTGCAAAATCAAGTGGATAGCTGCTTTCCAGGTTTCAATACAAATGATGTATTTAAATGTCTAAAGTCTTTGAATCCCTCCCAAAGCTTAGGTCCTGATGGTGTTTCTAGTATCATATTTAGAAAATGTGCAGATATTTTGTGTCATCCACTTACAGATATCTTCAATGTATCGTTCTCTAAAAACATAATACCCACTGCTTGGAAGCAGATAAAAATTGTACCTGTGCCTAAGCCATCTTCTGGATCAGATGTTACTTTTCGACCCATCGCTATAACTTCCCCTTTTCTGAAGACAATGGAGAAATTACTTCTGCTTGTGATTGAGCCTTCATTGATGGCCTTCAGAGATCCAAAACAGTTTGCTTACAAACACCGGAGGAGTACTTTAGATGCAGCTACTGTCTTGCATCATAATATTGTTTCTAGTCTCGACAAAGGTGTTAAGTATGTCCGTTGTGCCTTTTTGGATTACTCATCAGCCTTTGACTCTGTTCCTAGACCACTTTTGTTAAATAAGCTTGCCATAGCTCACACTGATCCATGGGTTACAAAATGGCTGCATTCTTATTTTTCTGAAAGGAAACAGTACACTATTCATAAAGGGATGCGCTCCACTTCATTGCTTACTGAAGCTGGTGTGCCTCAAGGTGCTGTACTTTCTCCTTTTCTGTTTTCCTTTTTTTGCACGATTTGCCTTATTCTGTTGAAACTAATTTTATCAAGTATGCTGACGACCTGACGATTTCTATTCCAGTAAACTCTTCTTTGGATTGCTCGAAATTAAATGAATTCTTGTCTGAAGTTGGTAAATGGTCTCTCTCAAATGGTCTCAAACTAAACCCCTCTAAATGTCAGACCGTTAATTTTAGCCTCAGGCGTAAACAAGACTTATGTGAGCTGCTTAAATCTCATGACGCCTGCTGCATCAATGGTATTTCTGCAGAAAGTAAATCGAGTGTGAACTATCTTGGGTTGCGTTTTACTTCTGACCTTTGTTGGTCGTCCCATATTTTATTGACTTGTAAAAAAATCTTTCGTTTAACTTATTACGTAAAGAAATTGAGGCTTTCTGGTATAACTCAACTGCTTCTTTTACAATTTATTAATTCCTGCATTTTACCTATTCTTCTATATTGTTCCCTGGTCTTCTTAAAAAGGACTATGTTATGTTGCGTAGGGCTTTGAAGACCGTCAGCAGGGTGAGTGGTGTGTCTCTGGCTCAACTGATTAACACTGTAGTTGATCGACATATAAATTCCTGCAAGCTACTAGCTACAGAAATTTTAACTGACAGTGAGCATCCACTTCATTTACAGCTCTCTCCATGTATCTCCTCAGGGAGGACAAGGAGAAACTACATAAGACTGTATGCTCGTACAGCTAAGTATAAGAATTCGACTGTACCTTACCTTGCATGCATATTTTGTGAGGAAAAAAGTGTTAGAACAGAAATCACACATCAACTTTGTGACAGTTAAAAATCTCATTTCAATAATTTAACTTACAATGCAAAATTTTCTCGTTTTTAATATTTTTCACATAAATTTTTATAATAAAACAATTCGGAAGGCTGCAAAGTAGTATGTACATACTTATATTTTGTTGTTATTGCAATATATATTACGCTGAGAATTCCAAATTGTACCACAAATTGTTTGGAATGAAGTGAATTATTATTATGTATATTAATACATCGCGAAAATGTTTAAGCTTCAAAAAGCGTCAAAGTATAAATACATCT